ATCCAAAAAATGATCTAAGATTTGGAAAAACAAAAATATCCTAACATATAAAGTTCCTCCGAGGCTGTCAGGAGATGCTTGCAACCTGATCCTGTGTCTGCGTCTCCTCATTCGCTGACGCCGTCCTTTCCTACGAGAGACCCACCCCGGCTGGAGCTGGACTCCAGCAGGGACCCCTGCAAAACTGAGAAAAAACTGCAGTCTCTTGGCCCCTATGGGGCCCCGCCTGGCCCTGGGTCATGGCTCTTAGCCATGTCTTAGCGATGGCTCGTGCACCCACGCGAGCTTCCGGCCTCCCATGTAGAGTCACCGGCTAGAGTCCCACAAGTCTTTCCCAGGAGCGTACCCCTGCCCCAGCCCCCCAGGCTTCTGAGCTCTTCAAGGAGGAGGCCACGGTCCTGGGAATAAGCCCTAACGAGCTTCCCAGAGGAGGGCCAGCTCCAGGCTCCCCTCGGGCCCCGCGTCTGGCCCTCAGTTTCCCTGGGAGGGCGGGTCTATTGTTGGCCTTTAGCTCCAGGATCAGCCAGGACAGGGTGTGTAGAGGTTATTATACTTCCCAGCTGGCCTCAACCCACGAGACTATTAGGATTTCTTGCCAAACATAATCAGTGATGTGGCCAGGGTCACCCCTGGAGTGGGTTGAGGGTGGCCCCCAAAACATATGCCCATGTCCTCATCTCTGGAAACTGGAAATGTCACCTCATTTGAAAAAGGGGCCTTTGCAGATGTAAGGAAATGATGTTGAGATGGGGAGATCATCCTGGGCTATCCCAATGGGCCCTAAATCCAGTGACAAGTGTCCTTCTAAGAGTAAGGGACAGGAAGGTGGGCAGACAGAAGAGGGGACGGTGGGACCACAGAGACAGGGATTGGAACGAGACAGCCACCGGAGGCCAGAAAAGGCAAAAAAAAAAAAAAAATGGGGCTCTCCCCTCGAGCCCCTGATGGAGCCTCTTGCCAGATTTCGGACTTCTAGACGCTGGAACTGAGAGAACACACTGAGGCTTTTTTGAGCTGTCAAGTTTGTGGTTCTTTGTTAGGGCAGCCTCGGGAAACCAACACAACCCCCACTTTACAGACAGAAAACGGAGGTGCAAAGCAGACAAGCCTGGCCCAAGGTCACCCCGGGGATCAGTGGGAGGGCATCCAGCAGGGGCAGCCCGAGGGTGAGTGGGGAGGAGTCTCACCTCCCAGGGCAGCCTCAGCCCAGGTTGGCCCCCTCCCTCTGCCCAGGGAAGACTCGAGCCCAGGAAAACGCTACAAAGGGGCAGAGGGTAGCTCCCTGGGGCCCAGAGAGAAAGGGACAGAGTTGCCTGGACCGCTGCCCTGACCCCATGCCCCCGGCCCGATGCTGCATCTCGGGAGGCGCCATGGTTAGAGCCCAGAGTCGTGGTTAGGGTTCTATCCCTGCCACTTTGATGCGTGGGTGCCTGGCACTCGTATGGTGACCTCTGAGCCCCTCGAGCTGTTCCCTGGAAGCTGTGTGAGTGACCCTCCCGGAGCTGGGGTCAGTCGTAGTAACTTCCAGAATCCCACTCCCAGTAACCCTCCTCCTGTTGGCCGTGAGGCAGGGCAGGTAAGGCGAGCCCAGGGGTAGGGAAGTGGGGCTGGGGCCCCTGGTGGGCGGAGGGCTTTCCCACAAATTGTCCCCTCCTGCCCCCGGGAGGCCCTATTCCTACCCTGGTGTAGAAGTGGAAACTGGGGTGGGGCCCAGGGGGCTGGCAGCTGGGGCCACACCATGCTTCCAGCTGTCTGCACACAGAGTCAGGCTGCCCAGCCCCTCCCCAGGGCCACCTGGGACCTCACTCACCCTTCAGCTTATCCCCAAACATGGTCAGGAAGATGGTGAAGTTGATGGGCCCAGGGACCTCCTTCACCATGGCCTCCAGCTCCTCGTTCTTCACATTGATGCGGCCTGGGGGAGGGGGAGGGACACCCAGGAGCACAATGAGGGACAGAGGGGACTCTGCCTGCAGGCAGCCCAGGAGAGCAGAGCTCAGGACCAGGGAGCTTCCTGCAGGGTCTCCCAGCTCTACTCTTCCACATCCCCCCCCCACCAGCCCTCAGGCCCTGCCCACCTGCTGGGGGACCTTCAGAGGGGGACACATTCAGCCACAGTTAGCACTGGGCTGCCCCCAGCCCCCCTGCCCCCGCCCCCCGCTACCACCCCGGCCTCCCTGGACAGGAGAGCAAGTTGGTGATTATCTCCATTTCACAGGTGAAGAAACTGAGGCCCAAAGAAGCTGAAGCGGAGGTGCATAGGGGCCAGAAGACCTGGAGCTCAGAGCTCATGTGCCCCGGGAGGAGGTCATCTGGGGGTGGGCAGACTCTGGGGTTCCTCATGGTCCCAGCGGACAATCACATTTCTGAGAGCTCAAAGCTTAGTTTAGACACGACTTAGCTATGCCCCCTTCCCCTGACCTGAACCCCCTCCCCATTCATGCCTTAAGTCCTCTCCCTGCGCCCTTAGAGAGGGCAGAAGTCTCCCCTGGCAGCCGAAACCCGGTAGCCTTGAGCCCTGCGGATGTGTCTGGCCTCCTCCCCCAGCATCTCCCACTGCTCTCTTGGCTGCCTCCCCCACCCTGGCCTCCTAAGCCAGGCCTTTGCATGGGTCATTTGTGCTCCTGCTGCCCTCCCTGCGTCCTCGGCCCAGATCGTACCTTCCAGTCACGGGCCACCCCTCCCCTGTGCCCCCAGGGCACCCAAGCCCCTCACAACCACTACAACTGCTGCCCTGGCCTGTCCCCAGGCACCCACTCTTTCCAGAAGGCCTGGGCTCAGTTCTGCCCCAAGCCCTGAGCCCCTGCAGCTGCTGGTCACCCACCCAAGGCAGCAAAGGTGTCCCTCAGGTCCTCCTTGTCGATGAAGCCATCCCGGTTCTGGTCCATGATGGTGAAGGCCTGGTGGAGACATGGGTACTGAGCAGCCTCCTACCCACTCGCCCAAGCCCAGGCCCCTCCCCAGAACCCTGCTCCCCCAAGGGACTGTCGTCCTGCACACCGCTGCCTGGGTAACCTCTGGCCAGCCGGCGTCCTGGCTCAGCACGGCCCCAGCACGAGAGCGTTGGCTGACCCGCTCAGCTCCCACAGCACGCCAGCACGCAGCTGGGGTGCCATGCCCATCCCTCACTTCATGCTGCAGCAACCCCATTTTACAGAGAGGGAAACTGAGGCTCAGAGAGCAGAAGGACTCGCCCGAGGTCACGCAGCGAGCAAAGGCTCAGGTAGAGAGGGGCGGGGGTTGCCCAAAGACCGCAAGTCACGTCTCCGGGCTCGGAGGCACACCATGGCGGCCTCTAAGGATAGCGACATCATCATCACCCCCAGGGACTGAGGGCGACCCGGGCCTTGCCAGCCCCCTGAGTGTTTCCATGCATTGCATTAATCCTCCCGGTGGCCCCAGAGGGCACTGACCAACCTCTTTAAACTCCTGGATCTGGGACTGATCAAACATGGAGAAGACATTGGAGCCGGCTCCACCTTCCGCTCTCTTGCGGGCTCTTCTGGGTGCCTGGGAGGTGGCAGATGGGCTACTGCGGACAGCCTTCCGCCGGAGGTTAGCCGTGCACCCCGCCCGCCCCCCGCGCCTCCCCTCCCCTCCCAGCGTGTCACGGTACCGAACGACACGGCCACCCTGGGCTACAGGGTGCAGCAGACAGACAGGGCTCCTAAGGAAGCCTTGTGGATAAGGGGGGGCATTTGTCCAGCCTGAGGCCAGAAACCTGGGGGCCCCCACCCCACAGGCTGGTCAGCGGCTTCCTGACCTGGTCGGGGGAGCCCAGGTGGTATAGCGGAGAGGACACGGTCCACCTATAGCTCCCTGCGGCCATCCCACCTCGGGGCTCCCCTGCGCCCACCCAGGGCCCAGCTCGGAGCACGGCTCCATCGGGAAACGTCTGCCCAGAGCTCAGAACCCATCTCCACAGCAGGTAGAGCAGGCGACCCCCCACACGGAGGGTCTCTGGCCAGCCTTCCTGCCTCCACATGCTTCTCTCAGGATATCAGGGGCCTGAGAGCCCACCATTGAGCATTCCCTGAAAGCTCTGGGTCCCCAAGACCCCCAAGGGGACCTTGCCCTCGGCGGCTATCACCAAGGACTTTCAGACTTGGCTCGTGAGGTGGGAAAGCACAGCCCGGGCTTCACAGGGCCGGAGGGGCAAGTGGGGTGTCCCCCCACCAGCCCAGCGCCCCTGCCTCCATGTCAGTGGTACCAAGCCTCTGCCCACCCCACCCCAGAGCGGGGGCTTCCCCTGCCTCCCCCGCCCCGGGCCCCTGTGTGGTCTCCCCTCCCCAAGCTCACGCCTGTCCCCCCCAGCCCGCGCTCACCCCCACTTCCCCTCCGGCTCCCAGGCTCAGGAGCAACAGTAACGGCTGACTTATAATTAGCTTTTACTGGGTGCTTTGTCTCCACTAATCCTTTGAAATGGGGCTCGCAGGGCAGCCAGGACGTTATGTGCTGTAAAACCTCTGTAATATTTATAAATCCCTTCAGACATCATAAAGAAAGGAACCTCCCTGCGGGGCTCATCTCACATAATTACATACACATTTCCCTCTGATTAATAAAAAACAATCACTTCCGTCTGTGGGATACACTGCCCTCTCTCTCCTCAGACCTGCCCTCGGCCTGGGTGTCCCCCAGCCCTGTCTCAGCCAGCCTTCCGTGTCCCTGTCGTGGGCCATCGCCCCACTGTGTGCCAGGCCCTCCTCCAGAGCCCCCAAGGGAGGACTGGGTTGTTCTCTTGGACTCCCCGGGGGCACCCTGAGCCCCAGGGCCCTGAGCGGCCCCCCTGCTCTCCCAGCCCAGCCGTCTTGGAAATTGCCTTTTAAAATGTGCCCCTAAAGAAACGAACATCTTCTGAAGGGAACACCTCGGGGCAGAAGGGGGTCACCCAGACCTGAGCAGCCCTGCGATGTTGAGAACATCAATTGCCTGCTCTGAGCTTCAGTTTCTCCATTTATAAAACCAAGGTGATGCCTACCTCAGAGCATCGGGACATTGATTAGGTGCCTGCTGCTGACCTCCAGCCAGGCCCTGTGCCCTGTCCAGGGGCCCCAGCGCTGAATCAGACCCTGCCTTGTCCCCAAGGGTCCCCCTGTCCAGCAGGGAGACAGATGATCAGTGGGGAGGGATGGACAGACACTGAGAACACAGAGAAGCCCTTATGCCATTGGGGCACTCAGGGCAGACCTCTCGGGGGAGGTGGCCTCTGAGCTGAGGCTTGACAGCCAGGTGAGAGTTCTCAGGCCAGGAGGGAGAGTGAAGGTGTGAGACAGGGACATGAAAGAGCCGTGCCACTGAGAGCCTGTGGGGACACCCAAGGGGCTGGAGACAGGGGGAGGGCAGCAGGGCAGGCCTCACACCAGTCCGTGGAGGACCCAGGCTATCCTGGAATATCAACCCTGCTTCCCCAGGGAACCATGTCCTCTTAATGGGAGCAGAGTCCTGCTTCTGCCATGAAACCTCCAAGCCTCGCCCACCCTGTCTCCTTCTACCCTCCTCTTCCTCGTTCCTACCTCCCCTGCCATTTCACCTCGGCAGCCCCCGATGAGTCCAGGAAGCAAAGATGCAAATTGGGACCTACATGGATAGACTGGCTGCTCATTAAGGACAGTCCAGGGTGGGTCAGGTGCAGGGATAACATCAAGGGTGAAGAAAAAGGTCAGGCCTAGGGACAACATCAGGTCAAGATCAAGGATGTCAGCAAGAGGAGCAAGGTCAAGGTCAGGGTGAGTTCAGGCATGAGGTGAAGGTCAGGATCACACATGAAGTCAAGGTCGCAGGATGAGGTCAGAGTTGAGGAACGAGGTCAGGGTCAGGAGGCAGGGCAGTCCCAGCCTACCATGGTCTGGAGAGCTCCCTCTCGTCGCCGCAGGCCTGGAGGTCCTCAGGGATGGCCCTTTAAATAGTGCTCTGGGTCCGGACGACAGTTTGGAGGATGACAAAGGACAGGATGGAGGCCTCCCTGCCAGGCACCTGTTTGGGGCCATTCAGAGTGGGTGGGGTCCAGACACTGTCCAAACCACAGGATCTCCGCCTGTTGTGGGCCAACCGGATCTCTGCACCCAAGGGACAGAGGCCCAGGAAGGGGCCCTTGGCCGAGAACACACAGTATATTAAGGCCTGGAACCAGCTGGGAGGACTTGGCCTTGGGCCATTTGAGGTCAGGAGTTTCCAAGGCAGGGCCACCCACACCAGCTGGGAAAATTCAAGGCTGCAACAAGGCCCGACCCCTTGAGCTCTGTGACTGTGAGTGGGTCACTGTCCTCTGGTGAAAAGTGGCGAGCACGTGTCACCCCCAGTCAGCTTGGGGAGAGGGTTTCTGCCTTGTAGTTGGTTACCAGGGCTACCATGACCCCCTCCAGCCCTCGGGCCACTGAAAATGTCTGGGGAGCCAAAAAGGCAAAGAGACAGACAAAAGAAAAGTGGACGTGACCCCCAACGAGGGAGAATTGGGAAATCAGATCCCCATTCCACGCTGGCCACACGTATCCCCGGCTGGGGCCCATCCCTACCAGGCCTGACCCAGCCCAAGAATTCTCCAGGAGATGTGCCAAGCCAAGTCTGCACCTGCCCCTGGCAGGCCCCCATGTGTCCAGTGCAGCCCAGCAGCCCCCGGCCGTCCAGCCAAGTTGGGTCCCATGTGGGACCCGCCATGTCTGATCGGCCGCCAGGGCTGGCAATGCAGGGCTCAGGCAGTGAGCCCACCCGTCACCAGGTACTGCACAGCTTAACTGTCCCCGGAGCTGGTCTCCAGGCCTCCAGGCCCCACGACGGCTGATCCCTGCCTTGGAGGAGGGAATGTGATGATGACAATAAGCGGAGTAGCTAACATTTATAAAACACAGAAGGTCAGGCCGTGTTCTAAAACACGTGACCTCACAGCGAATCCTTACCCCATTTTCCAGGTGATAAAACTGAGGCTCACAAGGGTGAAGTCACTCATCCAAGGCTGATAAGCCGGGGTGCCAGGATGAGTCTCTCTTTCTAGTGGTTCCAGAAGGGAGCTTCTGGAAGATTCTGCCCAACCCAGTGCTCACCTTCCTGACCTCTCTGGGACCTATGATGGAATCTTCCACCCTGAGCTGGCGTCAGGACTGCCTTGCCGTCCCCTGGCAGGGACCAACCACATGCTCCATGTTCCCCCACCCCAACCACGTGAGGAGGGCTGCAGGTCTCAGTCCTGCTTGACTGCAGTGGGAGATGGGCCATGTGAGTGTGGCAGGCGCCTGCCCCTCTCTGGGTCCACATGGCGGGGCAGGTGGCCACCGTCCACACCGGCTACGGGGAGCCGCCTCTCCTTGCCCGGTCCACGAGCCTGGGCCTGGGGCCCCCTGGCTCTGGGCTTGCTGAACGGGGAGAGATTGGCCATCTGGGGATTTAACGCCTGCTTCTTGCTGGCCGGAGGCCTCCTCGCGCAAGGGCTCGATGCCGCTGAACTCCTGCCTCTGGGGATCACCACCCAGGCCTCTCACCCTTGGAGGGGCTCCAGGGGGCTCAGGACAGTCCCGGGTGAGCGGAGAGTCCCCCAGCCTGCCGGGAGGAGGGAAATGCAAGAGGGAATGCCAGTGAGAGGCGGGTAAGTCACAACAGGGCTTCCAGGGGCTTAGCCAACTTGTCCCGCTGCTTTCCTTCCCTGGCCTCCCTCCTCCATGCTACAAAAGCAGGCAGAGCCGCTCAGAAAGCCGGTAGAGACTGTGAAAAGTCACGGGAGAGATGGTTGGAGAATAGCTGTCCCTGGGGCGAGCAGGGGTGTGGCGGGGGGTGGGCCTGCAGCGGCCCCGAGCAGGGGAAGCGCCATGAAAACGAGCTGGCCTCTGGAGCCGAGGGCCCGGGTTTGGAAGGCAGGTCCCCCCACGCTGATAAAACTCACGGCCCGTCAGCCAGGTGCGGCCGGGCGAGTCTGTTGTTTGGCCCCACGGACCACAGGGTGGTGGCCGGTTCCGGGGGTCAGAGAGACCCCAGAGGGGTCTGTGCTTTCAGCCGGGGGCCTCCCGGGAGTACGTAGCTTCCAAACTGGAATTCCAGGCCAGTCCAGGGAACTCAGAGGAGTACTAAGCCCCTTGTGAAGAGAACCCCACTTTCTAGAGGGCAACGGGAGCTCCCAGGGGTCACCAAACCTAGAAGGGAGCTTGAAAGACATCAACTGCCTTTGGCCTTGGCCCTCCCCCTGCAGGGTGACAGGTGTCACCCCCACCACAAGAGGGCAAGGTGGGCCAGGTGACCCCGCCTGCTACTCCTCACCCCTAACTCTCCCTTCTAACTCTTCACGGTCAGCCGGCCACCACTTTGACCTTCACCACTTTCCCAATGATTTGCAAAATCTCCTTCCTCCAAACCTTTGACCCTGGAGCATATTCCCCCACCCCAACCATGCCTCCATCCTCCCACTTTCTATCACCTCTCACCTCCTCCCAGAAGCCCTCCTTGCTTTCCCTCCCCTCCCTTCTCCCACTGGAATCACTGCTTCTCTCTGACCTCCACTCTGTAGATCAGCGACTACCTGCCTT